ATTGGTAAAGCATTTATGGAGAAATACCTGGATCTGCATCTTTATTAAGTCTGATGACCGGTCATTTCTAATTCAGGGCGGTCCCCATCTCTGGTCCTCATGCAGACGTATCAAAAACTTTCTGAGTAATCTTTTTAAAAACAGACAAACAAGCCAGATCAATCACATAACCTCACTGGTGGAGGCGATAATGTCAAATCTAACAGTACTTCAGTTTAATGGATTCCTCTATTTGTCTTAGATCATTTAGTTACCATGAAAACTCATATACCTCACTTTTGCCCACCTGCAGGTTTACTGGATCGGGCCGGTGCTCGGCGCCATACTGGCAGGGATGTCCCATGACTTCTTCTTTGCACGCAGCGCCTCTCGTCAGAAGCTGGTGGCCTGTTTGACCTGTAAGGACATCGAGATCGTGGAGACGACAAGCATGACCGGGTCGTCGCTGTCTACAGTCACGCAGAATGCCATGAGAGCCAAGCAGGCCAGCAAGCAGGAAAACAACTGAAGAGACATGCACCAAAAAAGCGCACTCTGTGCAACAGCGATTTTTAAAAAGATGCACTGGTGTACACATGATCAAAGTAAATGGTGATGGGGACAAAAGAAAAGGAAGAAGGTGTGTCAAAGGATGAAATTTATCTCACATGACATGCTGTAATATACAAAAGCAGACAGGAGTGCTCGACCATTTAGAGTTTAATGTCATCTAATAGCAATCGTAACATCCTGATAAAGAAGCAGTTTAACTCTTGAATTGCAGTTTGACTGTGGCCATACAGAGACCCGTCTATTAACTGCAAGACTGATGGCTTAATACCCAGGTTGTGAGTGTTGGCGCACCAAAATGCACCACAATGGGATATAATTACTATTTATTTTCACAAATAGTCACTTTTATTTATTTATTTTTAATATTTATATGTCTGATATTGTTTGATCATCTGTCTAAACAATTTTTAAAAATAGCAGGTCTACATGTACAACCTAACAAAAATAAAAAGCAAAAACAAGCAGTGATTACTCGCATGTTTCAACACAATAAAAGAAAAATGAGGCCCTATCTCTATCATTATACGGTAAAATGTGTATCATTTACCTATTACAATTAAAAGTACTTTAAAAAATTAAATTGTATCAGCTAAAACATACTCAACAAGTATCGAAAATAAAAACACTAATATTTGAGAAACTCTCCCATAAATAACTAAAAAAAAATCATGGAATATAATACTATATAGTATTAGTATAATCGTTCCGCTTTTAGTAAATATTTTGGAAGATTTCTGCACAAAAACAGACATTTTTTGGAATCAGGTTAGCAAACAGTTCAACCACAACTATCATAAAATGGTACGAAGCAGAAATACAGTATTTCTCTCTTAGTGTAGGATAATGAAACATCCTCAACCAAAAATGCCCAGAAAATGAATTTCAATGAGATACTTCACTGTTTGGATTTCTGGGAAAATTGAATGTTCAGCTGAAAGATCTCATCCTAAGTACGCTTGTTTTTTGGAGTTTCGTGTTATATTTGGTCAATTCTTGTTTTATGAGCTGGCCAACGAGTAAGTTAGCTACAGATACAAGATTAATTTGATTTTGAAAGAAGACCTAGCACAAGATGGAAATTAACTGCGGCTTAAAACATGTACTTGGACTTTTTACTGAATAGCAATCGCTAAATTTGATTCACAGAGAATTATCACATAAATGTGCAGCTCTCCTTACATTTGAAGAGCTTCAGTTTCCAGTCATTCTGGGGCTAAATTCATGAAGGTGATTCAAAAATATAAATATTGGAAATATTCCAATCTTTCCATGTTACAAATGAGTGTACAAATGTACGATTTATACATTCAAATGCCAAATTTTATTCTAAAGAAGATCCTCTTAATGTACAAGTCCCAGTTTGAAGTTTATGGAAGCTTGTTTACGCCACACTTTGGGATATTATCTCAAAATGTTTAGTTGGGTATGTAAAACTTTTGACTTACTCAGAAGTAAGTTTTTCATATTTATTTAGTCTAATTTCACAAAATAGGACTCTGATTTCTCCCTTTTGTCACAGGAGAGAGCTGTTTGCAGATTTAAAAAGCAAAATGCTCTAGAAACCTTAAAAACTATCTTAAAAACAACAATCAGGCACAGATAGCGACTCACTAATTTACACAACGGAGCGCTTAGTTAGCAGATATATCCCCTCATAAGTTAATGGAGACCAAAAACCGGGACAAAAGAGAATGATTGTAAGACTTGGACTTACCAGAAAGACAGAAATATGACCCCCAGATGTGTACATGTTAAAGTTATGCATTTACTGTATGAAAGATGAGGAAATCTCAGTGTTCACAACTTGTTTCCAATGCTCAGAGTACGTGAAAAAACCTTATTGGCACAAAAACAGAAATGTCTTAAAGTTGCAGTGATGCAGTAAAATTTGGTAAAAATACAATCTTATTCCTAAATTTGAGAACACTAGCAGTAGTAATACTAATAAAAAGCTATAAGACATGAGTGGGATGGAGAAAAAAGCCCAGACTGTGTGATATGGAGATAAAACTCAGCTTTTCTTTTGTAAATGGCAAAACTTCCCATTTCCTCTTCAGAGTAACACAGTTTTTGGGACATATGCAGCTAATGTTTTATGTTTTCAAAGAACCAAAGCTAATAAAAAACCCACATGTGATAATGAGGCAACAAAGGGAGGGTTGCAATTCTCACCTTCTGCTGGTGCATTACAAGCACACAATAATTTTCATTTTTTCCCCCTTTTTTCACTGCGCGTGGGGGAGAATTTCATGTAGAAGCTGAATTTTAAAAGGACTGGATGTGACCTTTGAGGTCCTTGTTGTCTGTCATTAGTGTATGCAAAAGTGTAGCCAGTACTGTGAGATTCAGTATTCACTTTTACATTTGCATGTCATTATAATTCTAACAGAGACTCATTGAAATCCTGCTGAAAACACCCTTATGTTTCAGTTGCATCTTGTGTTTGCGAATGCTTTGAAATGCTAAAGAGGTCCTTAGCCTGCACCGTGGGTTCAATGACGCTCTCATCCAGCATCTCTCTCATGTCTGTGCCTGTTAGCGTCTATCTCTTCTCTGAGGTTTCCTATTCACAATCAAATGGACCTTCATTCCTCTGTAATGGCTCTACAGAAAGAACACCTTCAGTCACAACACGCTTTGTAATTTGAAATGGAAACGCTGAGCATACGCGTGTATGTGGGTGAGAGACAATACTTTGATGAAACCTTTAAACATATTTGTGCGTGGGTGTACGCGCCTTTATTTTTGCCTCGTATTAAAATGTGTTTTGCGTGTTTGCAGTTCAAATGTTCAGTCGAAATAGAAAAAAGTTGCTCTTTACTGATAATTTGCTTTAGTTTGTCTTAAGTCACAGGCATTGTACAATCAACAACAAATTATATGTAAAGAATTTGGATGAACTAACCCTTTAAAATTGATATTAAATAAAAAAAATTGAACCATTTATTGTATACTTCTCCTGTGTTGATGTGTGTAATTTCCATACACATGCACACACGCTCTTAAATGTGCATGCAGTATGCGCACGTACACTCGCAGACACACATACAGCATGCACAATAGCTATAACTGCCACTGTGCTGCCAGCATTTTGCATTGTGTGTGTTCTTTCTAACATGTATAAAAGGGAGTTAAAACGGCAAGCTCAGCTATCTGCATTCATCACGCCCCAGCTACACACACACACACATGCGCACGCATACACACTCCTCCACCAGTGATGTCCCTCCGCTGGTCGGCGTGACGCCCCGGTGCTGCACAGTAACCCCATCGTTCCCCCGCATCCCCGCTGCCCTTCTCCACCTCTCCCCTTTTCCCAACCTCGCGCACACACTGAGAACGTTCAGGGCTTTGGTCGTACGTCCTCCTGCATCACAGCCTCACATACTGCAAACCTCTGCTAAGCACCTCCTCGAAGCTCCTGTCACAACAGAAGGCACAATCTGCTGCATTGTGTGAATTATTGTTGGTTTGCTGCTTGATTCACTGTTTTCTCTCTGCATTGCTGTTTTCCCCCCTTCTTTGCACACATCAGCCAGATTAACATGTATCTCCAATATTTCCTAGCGCGTCAATGGCGCTGGTTGTAGGGCGGTGTCAGTGCACACTGAACCCTGAGGCGGTGTCAAGTTCAGGTTAAAGTGCTCACACTTCCAGGCCTCTGCAATGCTTGATGCCAATTAAAGATCGCTGATTCTCACAGGCAGGATTAATTATGTGCACGCCAATAAACAGAAGCTACAAATTTAAACATGCGTTTTGGCACTAAGCTTTGCAAATTTGAGAAAATGCTTTGCCAGCTGTTGTTACTTGTGCTTCGGTTTAATATGTATTTTTGTCTCGTCTCTGTCCATACGTAGCCCAGATGCTTGTTACAGACAATGGTTTCACAGGGTCAGGCATTTCAGTGTATCGGTCAGGCCAGCACTGTTAGCTTTGGGCACTTCCGTCCGGGGCCCCAACTGTATTATTTGAATGTGTGCATGTGTGTTTTTGTGCATACATGTGTGTGTTTTCTGCCCTAATCTATCAGCATGCGTGTCCCCTGATAATGAAAGTTATGATACATCAACAGATGACATGCTCCCGAAAGAAAACTCAGCATAACCTGCTCTTCACTGCAATTCTTTCCTCTGTCATTTTTGACTCCTTCTGAAGATGAATACACTATTTTTTCCTGCAAAATGTTACTACCTCACTTTAAAAAAGAATAATTTCTCACTCATTTTTACTTCATATTTTTTTCTTCTTAGATATGCTACATCTCTTTTGGCCATACGCTGTTATGTGGGGGGAGACAGAGGGGTTAAGTTTGTTTGATTTAGGATGTCCAGCACTGCTGCCCCCCGCCCTTGGCCCTACAGGGGGATTATGGCGTCACCTGGGGCCCCTGGGGGGGTATTATAAAGCGCCTGTCTGGCCCTCTCCCCTCCGTCAGAGAGGCTAAAAGGTCCACTGGACGCTATCTATCCCCGTCTCTTTTTAGAAACACCCCTTTAGCATTGATGCCCACCTCTTCTTGACATCCCATTCCACCTGAGATCTCCTCCCACACTCCCACATTATCTCACACCTATGTCTTTGGACAGGTGGACAGAGGTGGCAAGCGAATGCAGCTGAGTTGACTTTACCAACCCAGTCTGGTAAAAGATCTGTTGAGTGGATTTGTCTGTTGACGTTCTGAAATCCTGTTTTGTCTTTAAACTGACTTTCCAGCTGTGTTTGGTCAGCTTAGTGAGCTGACTACAAAGGGGAGACTCTTTTTAAAAAAAATTTGATATCTGAAGAGGATTGAAAAGGTACACATTTGACCTTTTCTAGATTTATTTTTGAAGAATCCTCTTCATCTGGTGGAGAGCCTCAACCGTCACCATGTGGGAGTTCCGTTCTATGAATTTTTGGCGGGCAGTTTTTGCCGAGTTCTTCGGGACCATGTTTTTTGTGTTCTTTGGCATGGGCGCTGCCCTGCGCTGGACCACTGGGCCTCATCATGTCCTTCACGTGGCCCTGTGCTTTGGGCTGGCAGCCGCTACCCTCATCCAGTCCATCGGCCACATCAGCGGCGGCCACATCAACCCTGCCGTCACTTTTGCCTACCTTGTCGGCTCACAGATGTCTCTTTTCCGAGCCATTTTCTACATTGCTGCCCAGTGCCTGGGTGCTGTAGCCGGGGCTGCTGTGCTGTATGGGGTCACACCAGGCAACATGAGAGGCAACATGGCAATGAACATGGTAAAGACCAAAGAGGGATGTTTCAGGAAATAAGTGTAGCAATGTTGGGAAATCCTTTTTGGTTTAGAGTTTGTAGTACCAATTCAGGTTTAATGTGGTATGATATGAAACCATGGTTGGATTCAAATGAAATGCATTCATTCACTGCACCTCTCAGCCCAAATATCACCTTTTATCATATTTGTGTATTTCCAGCTGCAGCCTGGCATCAGCCTGGGGATGGCCACCACTGTGGAGGTCTTCCTCACCATGCAGCTTGTCATCTGCATCTTCGCCGTGACTGATGAGAGGAGGAACGGACGTCTCGGATCTGCTGCCCTCTCCATTGGCTTCTCTGTTACCATCGGACATCTCATGGGGGTAAAGACACACGGTCTCAGCATATAATCTAGTGTTAAATGCATGCATACGGAAGTGTAAATATTAGAAACGTGCTTCTTGTGTTTCAGATGTACTACACGGGTGCTGGAATGAACCCTGCCAGGTCCTTTGCCCCTGCTGTGATCTTCAGAAACTTTATCAACCACTGGGTAAGACCTGAAACGATCGATCTTCCCTCACCTTCCTTCTGTTTTAAGAGGTCTCATAAGTGACTCAACGGCTGATAAATATTAACGTTGCTGCTTACAGGTGTACTGGGTCGGGCCTATGATAGGAGGTGCCATGGGGGCCCTCCTGTATGATTTCATGCTGTTCCCACGCATGAGGGGTCTGTCCGAGCGTCTGGCCACTCTGAAGGGCAGTCGACCTCCCGAGAACGAGACCCAGCAGGACACCCGCGGGGAGCCCATCGAGCTCAAGACACAAGCCCTATAAACCTGCCCCTTCTCCCCTTCTCTGACTGGGGCCGAGGGATGAGGGACAAGGCCCTGAGCTACACCAACCCCACCTCCACTGCCCCCACCCAGTGCCTTCACATACACACACACACAGACACAAAACTAACCCAGACAACTCACGTGTAGACTAACACCTAACAACATTTTCCGGTGGCACTCTAAAAACATGCAGGTCAATCACCTTTAACCTCAACACACAACAACACTCCTCTACACCCAGTCATCTCTCTGTATTCTGAACTGGACTTTGTGTTTTCATAAATGGTGACCAGAGATTGAACCAGTAGCCGCCCCGTCTCTTCCTGCCCGCCTCTTTCCTCCTCCCAAGCAGGCTTTTGATCTGCGATGCAGAAACGTGTGGAAACCCCTTAAATCCAGCAGAGAAATTTGAGGAGGGGAGGAGACTGAGGGGTAGGAAGGAGGTGAGGCAGGGATGTGGGAATGATATGTGAGAGGGATAAGAGAACATGGGACAGGTGGGGGTGGAGTAGAGGGGTGGATAGAGAGGGCAGCACTTCTGGGTTTGTGGTCGTTTCAAGTTGGGTTAGACCAGTGAAGATGGGCATGCTTTTCATTATTCACAAGAATTCTTTTTTTTTTTCTCCATTTTAGTTTATTTTTTGTTTTGTTTTCTGCACTTCACACACAAGACGTGGATGTATGATACCATTAGATTTAACCAGGGTTTCATTATTTTCAATCACTACAATTTATCTGTGGGTTTGTGTTTGTGTGTGCGCGCAAGTGTGTGCGTGAGAGTGAGTGTGTGCCTTTGTGTGCGCCTGCGCCTGTACGTCTGGGTGTATTTGCAAGTGAGTGCGTTTATGTGTGTACGTGTGCGACCGAGATCGCACATACAGTACTTTTTATTTCGTTTTACCGCTCTCGTGTTTCGTAACCATTGATTGTGCTCATTTTTTGTCCCCAATTTTTAAGACATTACCATTTCTCCTCCCCCTTCACTGTGCTATTTGGTATGATATTCATTTTTACATAAACCATCTGCTTTTTTGTTCTGAACCAGCGCAATCCAAAGCAAATGTTGTATCCCAGACTTCAAGAGTAGGTCTGCTGATCGGCTGTGCGAGTTTTACATTGAGTCTCCTTTTATTATTTGATCCTTAACTGGGAGCACAAAGCGTTTCAATAAGAATTTCAATGAAAATAAACATAAAAAAAAAACTTGATACGAGGGTCGGCTCATCTTTGCTTTTTTTCGCCTTTAAATGTTATGAATGCAATTTAAATGAATGCAAGAGGAAGTGTGAGTTGTAATAAATAATCTTGGCCAGAAGAGGGCATAAAGAGCACATGGGATAATCTCACATCTAAAATTAGACTCAGCCGAATGACTTCTGGCCAAAATCATAAACGACAAACATTCAGAGTGGGCTCTCGTTTTGTGTGGGTGTGGCTTGAGTGATATATTGCTTTAGATTAAGGGAGTGTCTTTTGGGTAAGACAGGATCAACCCCACATGAGGACTATAGCTTGAGTTTGATAAGAAACATGGTTAAAGCTTTTATTGTAGATTACAGCTGATAAACTACAGTATTTACAGACTCAACCTTTTTCAGAGATTTGACACTTTATTAAGCCGCATCACTACAGTGAACAGTCTCTTCTTTAAGAAGAACTGCTGCATACACAACATACTAAATCCTGCTGCTGGAGTGATAAAAGGAAATCCCCCGATTTAACATTTAATCTAAATAAATCCATCCATCCTCTAGAGTTGTCCTCGCTGTCATGGAGTGAGAGGTGGGGTACTCCATGGAGCTGAGTTAGCTTACTGTTTATAGATGGAGAATTATGTATGGATATTTTCTCAAGAATGTCAAGTCAATGTCTTCAAAGAAGGACATTGATATGTCATTGATATGTCTCTTTGAGAATATGATGCAAAATGTCCTTTTTTCCCTTTTGCAATGGCAAAGAATGCCATCAAAAATTCCTTGATCCTGGATTTACCTCCTGATCACCTTCATGTCAAGACCCACCTCTTGTAAAATGTAATTCTCTTACTGGAATTCTTACATTGCTTTTTAAAAAGGTTATTTTCAGAGTAAACATACCAGATCCACAACCTCCTTGACCACCTTAATAGTATCAATTATTAACAATACAGCAAATCATACAAGTCAAAGTTTAGTGAAGTAAAAGTCAGAAATTCCTCTTTGCTTTCTCGACTGAAGTCACATTATATTCATTTTATTCCATATTTTCTGCTCTGTGTGCCACAGTTTGAGAACCACTGGTCTTTTGGATTATTAAACAAAACACATCAGTGCTGTGCAGTAAATATAAAGTAAATGCTTAGTTTAACACTGAGAACCAAAGGAGGAGAAAAAGGCAGGCTTTCTTGAGGCCAAATGTAGCTAAACAAGCAAGACATAATGTGTTGTTTAGTGGCTCTACTGGCTGTGATTGGCTGGCCAAGGTTGATGATTTTTCATTGTAAGAAAGGTAATTAACATATTTGTAAAATCTATTGCCTTCATGTCTTCAGCGGGTTTCCAGTTCACCAGTGTAAAGCAGCTCAATGACATAATGAAATGTAAATTTTCCATGCTGCTGCTGGTGCATTTGGTGTCCAGACGTACTCAGATTTGACCTGCTTAAGAAAAAGATAGCACATCTCATTTAGAAATATTCATTTTATTTTTGCATATTTGTTTAAGATGTGATGTATGGCTTGTTTTAAGACTACTAAGATGATGCGGCGGCACCAGGAAACTGCAGTATCACGACTAAAGAATCTCTCTGATTTCTGCATTCGAGGAAAAAACAAAAACAAAGAAACAATTCTGATCAGTACAAGAGGCTAGAAAAGGAGCTCAGACCTGACACCAGCATATACTGCATTATACCGTATGTCTCTCACTCGCTGACACTCACAGAGACCAAACATGGACATACACACACTTTTGGACATCCACATCCAAATACATTTACCTGATCTGTATTGACACCTAAGTAACTGAATAAAGACCGACTCCGAAGATGCTTTTGCTGCAAAAGTTGAGAAAGCCTACAAAGCAGCTACAGGAACTTCATGTGATGACTAATATCCTTGAAGTGTTAAGAAAGTCGATCTCAGAGTGACAATCTAGCAGTAGCATTACACAAAAATATTACACCAGTGTTGTCTACCTTATTAATGTTCCACCTCTGTCATTAATATTGCATATTCTGTGGTAATTACTACAAAACAAATTGCCAGCAGTGGAGAAAAGGAACAAAAGGGAATACAATAAACATTTTGTTTGTTTCACAGGTGAGACTAATAAAAATGACAAAATGAACTAAGTACAGAGACAGATCTCTAAGGCCATAGACAGAAAGTTAACCTTGAAGAGGAGGTAATTGGAGCTGTGTTTCTGAAGGAGGAACTGACTCCCAGCTTGGCTAGAGCCCAGCATTCAGCTCAGTACCTTTGGAAAAACTGCAGCCACAGCATCATGTCAAACATATTTCCTCGTTGTCTTTACCCCGAAGTCAGACTGCCTCCGAACTCAGCAGCAAGAGAAACATCCAGAAAATTACCAGTCGTCTAATTCCAGTCTCTGAGTGCTGCCACTGATGAAAAACATTCAGAGTGTATGCTGATGACAATAGTAATAGAACGTTTTCTTTAACTATTACAACAACAATAATAATAAAAAAAACAGGAACTAGAGTGCTCTTGAGAAGCCCTTTTGATTATATCACACTCTCTTCCACTTCTAGTCTCATCCTGATGATGTCACGAGTCAACAGTCACGCTGTTTCGAATCATCAAGTCAGCAGCTGCAGCCATGCTCAGAGCTGCTCACTGCATGCGGTCTGGCTGGTGCAGAGGGTAGTGGAGGAAGGCCTGCGGTGCAGCAGACACAGCAGTGAGTGCAGCTAGAGGAGGATGGATGGCAGCCGGAGGGGTTGGTGATGCTGTGACAGTGGGCGCTGGCGTACTGGGGGAGAAGGTGTAGCTGAGGTAGCCAGCGGAGGGCGACGGCGATGGGGTGTAGGGGTACTGCTCCAGTCCTGTGGAGGCATAGGGTGTGTAGGTGGGGCTGTAGTCTAGGTAAGGGGAGGTGAGTGCCGCTGCTGTCGGGCTGAGGTGAGAATGGAGCAGCAGGCTGGGCTGGAGGAACGTCTGGGGGTAGACGTACTGCTGAGTGAGCCTGGAGGGATACAGAAACACATGTTTGGTTAGCAAATATTAAGTAATTCATTATCTGGGTTTTACAAAACGGTAATTAAATGACTAATTATTGCAACTCTGTTACCATTTCAATTATTTATCATATAAATATTAATTTTTTAGTCAAGAAATCAATTACCATATTGTTCTATAGTAAAAACAGAAATATAAACTTAATATGCTTAACACTAAAGCACACTAAAAAATAAACGTGGGACTTCTCATTTTTAATGTGTTTATATATAAACATATAATATGTTACACACATTTTCTCATGATCTTTCAGTAAATTCTTTAAACTCAATCGCTGAAATCATTAAAAAAAATGACACTGACTGAAGCACAACTGTTACAAGGATAGGTCTGTAGGACTTTGTTGAAAATTGTCATATTATTTGTAAATGTAACCGATGAGTCTTTATTTATTGCTTCATTATCGTTTATTGTTAAGATCACTCATACCTGTTTAACAGCACCTTTTGGGGTTTAAGAGTTTTGGGGAACTCTTTGGGAGTCATGTGAAAAAGCAAGTTTACACAGGCATATGGAATTTTGCAGCCTTACTGCTTTCATAGTAGATAAGAGGGAGAGTATGCGCCAGGTGCTTGTAATTAAGTGCATTTGATCAATAAATCAATCATCAATAAACGTGAGAAACTCTTAAAAAGCTGAATTTTGGGTAGTTTTCTAGTCTGCAGCATTCAGCTATATGTCAGCCGAATGCCACAATCTTCCCAGGAGTGGATGTCCCATCAAATTCACGATACAGTGCAGTCAGTCAGGCTCTTCAGGCATCGGTTAGCATGTTAAATGTTAAAGTTAATGATAGCACAATCAGATAAAGACTGAATAAGTATTATTTGTTTGACTGACTCTGCCAAGAGAAAGCCTCTTCTCCCCATAAAGTACACGGCAGCAAAGTTGCTTCTGAACAAAGCACAAGAGTTTTGGAAAGACAAGACCAAAGTGAAGATGTTTGGCCATAATGCACACCACCATATTTGAAGCAAACCAAACACAGCATATCAGCACTGCCCTGTGTTCATATCAACACCTCATTTCAACTGTCAAGCACACCACGGTGGTGGTGGGGGTGATGGTTTGGGTTGTTTGCACCCACAGCACCTGTACACCTTGTAGTCATTGAGTCAAACATGATCTCTTCTGTATACTAAAGTATTCTAGACTCAAATGTAGGATCATCTGCCTGAAAGCTAAAGTTTGGTCCAAATTGGGTCATACAACAGGACAATGATCCCAAACACTGGCAAATCTACAACAGCATGGCTGAAAAAGAAAAGAATCAATGGCCCAGTGAAAGCTCATATCTCAGCCTGGTTAAAATGCTGAGGCGGGACATTAAGCGTGCATAAAAAAATACCCATGAAAATCAAAGAACTGAACCAATGATGTAAAGAAAAGTGGGCCAAAATTCCTTGACAGTCATGTGAGAGACTGCTAAATGTGTTCATGCAAGCTATTGAATCGTGGGTTGTATTTAGTTTTTCACAGAACTTGTCTTGTAATAACGTTCTTTCTTTGAGGACCTCTGCTTGCATTCACAATGCCAACGGTAGAAACTCAGGGTTTCCTCTGTACGCCACAGTAGGTGCTAGAAAAGAAACTTAAATTACATTTTAAGAACTATAGTCCTCAGTTTCTGCATTGGAAATTATAATTATTTCGGCTTCTACTGTAAATCAGTTGATATTAGCATGTTAGCATGCTAAAATGCTAAACCTTGCTAATGCTAAAAATTAAATAATCCAGCATGTTTTTCATTGCTACTGTGAACACATTAGCATCACGTACAACAAACACATGCTAACTTATGTAATTTGTATGCAAGTCAGTGTGTGGTCTGACATGTAGCTTTGCTTGGCGTTAAGTCTTATTTATTATATCTTTTTAAATGTATATCCTATAAGTTGCACTTGATGTTAGTGGAGATGTCTCAAATTAGCCTATAACGTTATAGTTTCTGGGCGTTTTCTGCCAATTTTA